GTAATGATTAGAATTTCTTCTTCTCCTCCAATATTTAGTATTAGAGCCATTATAAAAAAAACTGTGTTTTTGTTTTTCGCCCGATCCGAGCCGAACTTAGATCAATCCTTGACTCATCAATCGTTTTCGAATCAAAGTTCCATAATATTGTCCGGCAACTCCTCTCCAACACATCTCGTGCCATAATTGATATTCTTGGATCCCAAATTCAGCATATTTGGATGTATTCACCCCTGAGATGGAGAACAATCCAACCGTATAACCAAATAACAATATACTTGAATTTGGAAAACAAGAAAAAGAATATTTGAGAGGATTTGTGGACAACACTACCCATAATCGTGCCACATGATTGATGAAAATCCACGGCATATAGGAGAAAATATAGTATATAAATGTCAAGATTTCACCGATATAAGACGGTCAAAGCAGTGAGAAGAACGCCGGCATACGCAATGAAGTTGTAATCGCTGGAAAGTAACTCTACAGTTGAGAGGTGGAACGGTTGTAAAGATGAAAGTTGGATTGAAGACAATGGAAAAGAAGAGAGTAAAGACGATACGCATATATATTATCCAAAGATTGCATGAGATTTCTATAATAATATGTTCCATGTTTCTCCATAGATGCAACATAAACATTTTCTTGATCGTCTTTGAAAGAGAAATATAATCACCAATATTGTAATAAATAGAAGAAAACAAAAATATATGAAAGAAAAATAAAGTAAGGGAGAGATTCGGCGGTTAAACCGCCGGCCAGAGAAATTATTCGGTGAAAACTAGGTTATTGAAGGAGGCGACGGTTGGGAGAGAAGATGGAGGAAAAAAATAATTAGATTTTCTCTCTTTGTCTCCCGTCCATAAGCATGATAAATATTGGTCATTGCATACGGCTGCGAGAAATGTTATCAAATTCTATACTTATTGATGTTGTTGTATTCTTTATTAAGTATACTTTCTGTCAATTTATATTTACCAATATTGGACTAGATACAGATTCGACATCGTCATTGGATTGGACGGTTGGTCAGATCATTCAACCAGTCCAATCGAGTTTTTAAATTTTTAAATTTTTTAGATTTCTATAATCATATGCCGTTTTTTTATTTTTTCGACAAATTAAATATCTTCTTATATCAAAAAAAAGTTTACAAAGTACAAAAAACATTTTGAATGCAACTATATTAGCAAATAAAAGAGATTAAAATCAATTTCGATGAGCGAGTGGAGATTAACCAAATTATCTTTGTGGTAGTCTTACCGGCTAACAGAAAAATTTGTTATGTCCCTCGTTCATATATTTATTGTTGGGTATCATCTTGCTGATAAAACTGCAAAATGCACATCGTATTATTTTGATTAAAAGAATTAACTGAGTTGTTGTTGAAAAGGAATGGACAATGACGTACTCGCATATTCCAACATTGTCGAATGTTGTCGACTATAGTTTTTCTTCAAAAACATCCATGTTGGTGGTGATTAGAATTTCTTCTTCTCCTCCAATATTTCGTGTCAGAACCATTATAAAAAACTGTGTTTTTTGTTTTCCGCCCCAATCCGAGCCGAACTTAGATCAATCTTTGACTCGGCAATAGTTTTTTTAATCGAAGTTCCATGATAGTGTCCGGCAACTCCTCATCAACACATCTCGTACCACAACTGATATTTATGGATCCTAAATTCAACAGATTTGGATGTATTTACTCCCCGAGATGACGAACAATCCAACCGTATAAGCAGATAATAATATAGTTGAATTTGGAAAACAATAAAAAGAATCTTTGAGAGGATTTGTGGACACACTGCCCATAATCGTGCCACATGATTGATGAAAATCCATGGCATATAGGAGAAATTATGGAATATGGATGTCGAGATTTCACTGATATGAGACGGTCAAAGAAGTGAGAAGAACGCCGGCATACGCAGCGAAGTTGTAATCACTGGAAAGTAACTCTATAGTTAAGAGATGGAACAGTTGCAAAGATGAATCGACAAGTTGGATTGTAGACAATGGAGAAGAAGATAGAAAAGACGATACACAGACATCTTATCCACATATTGCATGAGATTTATATAATCATATGCTCCATGTTTCTCCGTAAATGCAACATAAACATCCTCTTGATCTTATTTGAAAGAGAAATTTAATCACCAAAATTGCACTAAAAATAAGAAAACAGAAATAAATGAAAGGAAAATAAAGCAAGGGAGAGATCCGTCGGCCTAAACTGATGGCCGGAGAAATTATCCCATGAAAACTAGGTTACTGAAGAAGGTAACGTTTGGGAGAGAAGATGGAGAGAAAATTTATTAGACTCTCTCTCCGTCTCTCGTCCATAAGCATGATAACTATTGGTGATTGCATATGGTTGCGAGAAATGTTATTGATATTGTTGTATTCTTTATAGTATACTTTCTGTCAATCTATATTTACTAATATTGGACTAGATACCATTTCGATGTCTTCATTGGATTGGCGGTTGGTCAGACCATCCAATCGGTTCAATCGAGTTTTTAAATTTTTATACTTTTAGTTAGGGGTGGGTAAATT